ACATTAATGAAATTCTTTTTGACTTCCGTAAACTTCAAATTGAAGAACTACAAAAAGAGTGTGATCTCCAAGGTAGGCCAACCAAACTAGGGTTCACGTGAAACTCCAGGAGGAGAGCAAGGGAGAAGGAGAGAGCAAAATCCACAAGAAACCAGGATAAAGGAATAGGAAGGTCAGGACAGGAAGTTGGTGGATATTATATCCCAGCTTGAGTTCCAGCCTCATTTCAAAAAGTGCCAACAGCCCTGGCTGGTGTCGCTCCATGGTTAGAGCATTGGCCCTCACACTGAAGGGTCAAGGGCACATATCTGGGTTCCAGGTTCGACCCCCAGCCCCAGTTGGGGCATGTGCAGGAGGCAGCCAGTCAGTCTGTCTTTCTCACATTGATGTTTCTTTCTCTCTCTCTACCCCTTTCTCCCTCCTTTCCACTCTCTCTGAAATCAATGGAGAAAATATCCTCAGGTGAATATTACCCCCCCCCCCCAAAAAAAAGTGCCAACGGAGGAAATAAATCTGAAGGCTTATGGAGATCAGATATTAGAGAAGAGGTATCTCTCTACATTTTAAATAAAAAGCATTGAAAAATCTTAAAGAATACAGAACGCATAAGATAAGGGTGATAAATTAAACTCCATTAAAGAAAAGATAGTATGTATAACAGTCAGAAGATAAAATATCTCCACACCAGCAAAAAACCATTTATAACTTGTGTCAGAGACAAAGAATAACTCTTTAATATCCAAAGAGTTCCTGTGTATCCATAAGAAAAATGACTGGTAATCTAATAGAAAAAGGGGCAAAGGCAATGAATAAACAGTTCACAGAAAAGGAACTACAAATGCTCAACTCAGGATAAGAGAAATTAATTTTAAATTCTTTAGTTCAGTGATTTTCATACCTATTTTTTGTCATATCGGCAAAAAATTTATTTTTTTGGTGTGCCACAGAAATTTACTAATTAGCGTATGTGTGCCATGAAACAAAAAGGTTGAAAATCTCTGATCTAGTCTATTAAATTGGCAAAGATCTTGATGTTCGTTACTACTTTATGGTGAAAAGGTTTGGGGGGAACTGACAAGCTCACACATTGTTGGTAGGGGTGTGAAATGGTCCAGCATCTGTGTAGCAATTTGGAAATATTGCCAAAATTAAAAATTTACCTACCTTCTCATCTCAGGAAACCTAAGAAGTTGTTCTACAGATATACTTGTACATCACAAAATGAATTTGCACAAAGACATCCATTGCAGCATTGTCTGTAAACAAAAGATTTAGAGAGAGCTAAATATCCATCAATATGAGATCACTTAAATAAATTATGAGCAGAAACAAAGCTAGGTAGCTGTTGAAAGGAATGAGGTCATTCTGTATTTGCTGATATGGAATGATCTCTAAGATACAAGGAAACAAGTCAAGTTGCAGGGTAGTGTACAGCCCTTGGGGTTTAATAGGAGTTTGTAGATATGTGCTTATGCTTGTAACTGTTAAGACTGTCTCTGGAAGGTGATCCAAGAAACTGGTAATAGTGATTGCCTCTGGGGAAGAGAACTGGGTGGTTGGGTGGGGATGGGAAGGACACTTATTTCGTACACCCTTTACCACTGTTTGAATTTTTAAATATGCCAACTTATCTATTCAAATCAAGGTAGCTTTTAAATTTCTTGAGGCTCACTTGTACTGTTCAAGAATGTTGAGTAGTTGTAGCCCACAGCATCCCTTTGCAATGTTAGGTCCATGGTAGTTGCCATAAAGACTCACCCTCACTGTCCAGTGGTGTGGCTTAGTGGTTGAGCATTGACCCTTGAACCAGGAGGTCACAGTTTGATTCTGGGTTGCAGGCTTGATCCCTGGTAGGGGGCAAGCAGGAGGCAGCGGATTGATGATTCTCTCACATCTCTGATGTTTCTAACTCTCTCTCTCTCTCCCTTCCTCTCTGAAATCAATTTAAAAAAAAAAGACTCACCCTCACTACTTCCCTGACAGGCTAAAGGTCAAGGAGGAGGGAAAATGGAAGCTGTTGCCCTTTGGGACAGGTTGGCACACCTTGGTTCCCTGTAATTGCCCTGCCCTTGCCACTGTGACCCCACCTAGCTGATTTTACTGGGAGGGAGACCCCAGGGACATTGATTAGGACCTACCTGGGTGGTGATACGCGTTCATGCAGAACAGACCTCGAAGAAGGTGGTGGCAGAAGCCTAGGCTGGGAGAACACAGAAATGGAGATGGTATTGATTGCTACTCCAACTCCATCAGATGCAGCTTACAGTGATAAAATAAAGAAAACTTATTTTATGGGCCACGGCCTTGAGATTCTCTGCTACCCCTGAGTTTTGGTACGATGTCAAAGGTGGCCTTGGACCCTAGCTGGTTTGGCTCAGTGGATAGAGGGCCAGCCTGTGGACTGAAGGGTCCTGGTTCGATTCTGGTCAAGGGCATGTACCTTGCTTGTGGTTAGGGCATGTGGAGAGGCAACCAGACGGTCTCTCACATGGAAAAATATCCTCGGGTGAAGATTAACAACAACAAAAATGTGGCCTTGGTTTTGGGAGCCCATTCTGGGAATCATTGATCTCTTCTGCCTTTCTTCGTTTATTGATGAGCGTATCCCCATTCATCCCTTAAAGTAACCATTTCCTGGAATAACTTTTTATGGTATTATACTCTTAAACACCTGCTTTCGTAAGTGATTGTTTCATTGTGCCTTTGTCCTCCTAGAGCCCACAAAATGGTACCGAATATTAAGGTATAGAATAGTGAGACAACTCTGGCCAGGTAACTCATTTGGTTAGATATGCCAAGGTTATTGGTTCAATCTCTGAGTCAGGGCACATACACGAAGCAACCAGTGAATGCATAAAGAAGTGAAAAAACAAATCAGTGTTTCTCTTCCTCTTTCTTTATAAAATAAATTTCTAAAAAAAAAAGGAATAGTAAAACAGAGAAAGCCAAGGTAGCAGCTTAATGGTTGGTAGGTGATATCTTTGGGAAAAAGAAGTATTTGCTGATATAAATTTATATATAAATTTAATAAGCCTGAGTTACATGAATTATACTGAAAAAAAGGAAAAACTTGGTGACAGTCGGAGGTATCATGCTGCAAAATAATTTTCCTAAAAGGAAATAAAAATAGTTTAATTATCAGTAATACACATTTATGCAAAGTTAACAGACATAGCCCTTTATTAGGAATTGGTAATTTTAAATAAAAAATAGCAAAGTATACAGGAGGAAGTGTTATGTCAGTCTCTTTTTATTAACTTCTAGGCATGAAGTCAGGGTTAAATATGTATCCTAATAAATGAATCAAGTAAATACTATGCATTCCTTTCCTTTGTGGAAGTTCTGATAATTTAGTGGCTGTTGTCTTTTACAAACCATTTCATTTGGAAATTAGAAGGGATAGGCAGCAGCAGCCTGGTAGTGGCATTCCACCTGAGTGTCAGGTGCCAGAGCAGGGTGATGTGGAGAGCGAAGGTTGATAGATGGGGAAAGGTCAGAGAGGCTCGCTGTCACAGGGGAGGAAGCACTGGATGACCTTTGGGAGCTTGGCATTCCGCAGGACCTGTGGAAGTGTCTAGAAAACCCTTCCCATAACTTTCCGGGGCTATTCAAATTTCAGGCTGCATTTGATCCTCAACTAGTATATCTAGTGTGTCTAATTTCTATGGAATGTAGGAGGAATTTAACTGCATTTCTTTAAGAGATTTAGTAGCATATATTAAATACATTGGGGTAACAGTATTGTGCCCAACTGCTTCTTCTTGCCACACATTTAACGTCTCC